CTAGGTTGGGGCTTTGAACAAAAAAAAACGGGGCTGGATTTTCACCTTCTCAGCATTCTGGCTCCCCAGCTCCTTCCGCCTCTTGTTCTTCGAGGCAGCGTGGATTTTGGGGGGCTCCTCCTCCTCCTCCATGTCGGGCAGTGAGACTTCCTCGAACCCATCAAACTGGAAGGGGAGAGGCAGAGGTGGCAGGTTACCCCCCCCCCCCCCGGTAGGTCCAGGTGTGCTCCGACCTCCACACCTGTCCCAATCGGTTCCCCTTCCCGGAAAGGACCAGAAGAGGGGATGGGAGACCCCCCCACCTCATATTCTTTCTCCTCCGTCCAATGGATTTCTTCGAAGTCCCCCAGGCGGCTGGCCGAGGGACGCAGGTGATCGAAGAAGATGGAGAATTCGTCCTGGAGGTGTTCGTGCCCTTTCAGCAGCTGCCCCACTTGAGTCTTCAGCTAAAACCCAGGGGGTTCAAAAGGGGGTTAAAACAAGTGAAGGAAGCAAACTACGGCATCAGTGGGGAGAGAAGATATTTGCTTGGGTGGGGAGAAAATGCCTTGGAAGTCACGAAGTACCCCAAAAATAAATAAATAAATGACTTTATTGTTTTTGCCTGCATATTCTTGCAGTCATTTCATGACCCAGCTAGGGAACATCGTCAGTGCTAGGAGGAGGTGGGGTTTGTGAAGAGGAGGAGGAGGAGGAAGAAGGAGGAAGGAGGAGGAGGAGAAGATGATGATGATGATTGTGGGGTCCTTGGTGGTCTCTGAGCTTGGTGGTTACCTTGCAGACATTTCATGACCCAATTAGGGAACATCATCAGTGCTAGAAGGGAGGGGAGTTTGCGAGGAGGAGGGAAGGAAGGAAGGAAGGAAGGAAGGAAGGAAGGAAGGAAGGAAGGAAGGAAGGAAGAGGGGAAGGAGGACTGTGGGGTCCTTGGTGGTCTCTGAGCTTGGTGGTTTCCTTGCAGACGTTTCCCTGCCAAACTAGGTAACCTCATCAGTGCCGGAGGTGATAAAAGAGGACGAAGGAGGGGACAGGAATACGCCTTACTTCCATGATCTCTTGGGGTACAGAGTCCGTGCAGTTCTGCAGCACCTTGATGATCTTCTGATGGTGGGATGGGTTCTCAGCAAAGCAGATCTCCAACCGCCGAAGGAACGTCCGGCTCTTCTCAAAGGCCTGCTGTTCCTCAAACTGGTGGAAGGGAAAAGAAGAAGGGGGAAAAAAAGTTTAAAAAGAGACGCAAGCAGAGTGCGCCGTCTGCTGGGAACAACTCCGTCGGCTGTGGAGGAAACTGGGGAAGGGCAAAGTCCGGATGGGCAGAGCAGGGGAGAGGTAGAACAAGGGAGAGGGAGTTCAGAGGAAGACCCAGGCCCACCCCCCTTCTTCATCCTAGGGCATGCAGGGAGGAACGGAGAAGGGAGCAACGTGGGTTGCATAGCTTACGGGGGAGGAAAGGGCCCTGATTCCCTTCATTAGCCACAGCTGGGAATGAGAGTTTAAAAGAGATGCAAGCTGAGTGTGGCAGCTGCTGGGAACAAACGTGAGTTTATCTTGTGTTGACTTTGCTTATCTGCGTTCCTGGCGTCTTCCCAACCGTGTTGAGTTATTGCCGTTCCTTCACATCTGGAATTCCTTCTCCTGCCCTGCCGGACTCATTACCTCATTTTGCCTTGTTTGGACTTATAGTTACAGTTTTTGTTGACCACCTTTTGGACTTGATTCTCTCTGCAGCCAAAGGCTGTTCCTGGGAGAGTTTTTCTCCAGCCCAGAAGATAACCAGGACAACATTGGGGGCAAAGTTGGAGCTAATAAAGGGACTCCCACTGATGATCTGACCGTGTTGCCTTTGTGCCACGCCCCTTTGGGTCATCACAGTTGCCAAGTGTCTGAATTTTGACCACAGGACCACAGGGGCTGCTACAACGGTCATAAGCGTGAAAAACGGTCCCAAATCTCTTTGTTTCAGGGCCGTTGTAACTTGGAACGAACTGTTGTTAAGTCAAGGGCTACCTGAAGTAGACGGAGCCCGGGTGTGGATCCCAGACATTCTCTCTCTCCCCTCCCCTCCCCAGCCTCAACCCTCCCCCCTTGCCAAGCTGAGCTGCCCACGCTTCCTCCAGCTGACCCACCAGTCCGCACTCCAGCGCTTGCTCGGGCAGCAGAAAGGCCGCGAAGTCGGTCAAGAGTTGAGGCCAGTCCTGAAGGAGGATCCGGAGCCGGGCGTAGAGATCGACGGCCGTCTGCTTCTGCAGGTTGTTCTCAAACTCGTAAATGTTGCGGAGAAATTCTTCGTATTTGCCTGGAACGAGGCGGAGGGCTTCGCGTACCTTTGGGGGAAAGCCAAGAATTAGCGCTAGTAGGTGGGGGTGGAGTCGCCAAGATCCCTATTGGGGTTTCCAGCAATGGGTACATGAGGTCCTTGACTTACGACGGCAAGCAGGAGCAAAAATTCTATTATGTTCTATATTCTATTTTATTCTATATTCTGTTCTATCTACTCATTCTTATTCTATTCTATTCTCTATTTTATTCATGTCAGAAGCACAGAAGCACTCCTGGGTTGAAAGAATTAGCCAGTAACATCACCATGAGGGCTCCTTTCCTGTGCCCGGCAGGAGCTGGAGCGAAGGACGAGAGGTCAACCCCGCCCCGCAGCAGCTCTCAAATGTGGGCTTCCTCCCCTCCTGCCCCAGCCTTCCAACTGCTTAAGCCATGGTTTTCCTTACCCTGTTCAGGTAAGCCTGGGCGAAAGCGAAGTCCTTCTGCTCGCGCAGCGGATCTCTCTCCAGGATGTCGTCATCATAAAGGAGGAGGAGCTTGGAGGCGTCTTTGCTGGTGCGGCCCCGCCCCCTCTTGGCCCGGGCTCGCTGGGATGCCCGGCTCTTGGTGGCAGCCTTGGGGTTCTCTCCTAAGACAAGGCAGCCGGAGGGAATCAGGGCCCTTCCTTCCCCGTAAGCCATGCAACCCACGTTGCTCCCTTCTCCGTTCCTCCCTGCGTGCCCTAGGATGAAGAGGGGTTGGGCCTGGATCTTCCTCTGAATTCCCTCTCCCTTGTTCTACCTCTCCCCTACTCTGCCCAGCCAGACTGTGCCAATCCCCAGTTTCCTCCACAGCCAACGGAGCCACATTCCCACTCCGTCTGCTGCGTGACTTCCCCCTTGGAATCAGATTCGAACAGGGGCACGACAAAATGTCTGCGAGAAAACCACCAAGCTTAGAGAGCCCTAGGACCCTACAATCTTCCTCCTCCTCCTCCTCGCAAACCCTACCTCCTTCTAGCACTGACGACGTTACCTAGTTGCATCATGAAACGTCCGCAAGGAAACCACCAAGCTCAGAGAGCACCCTCATTTCAACCCTGAGCTACAAATAGTCGGTTAACTATTAACCATGGTTGGTTGTCCTACTGGACTTCGGAGGAAAGCTGGCCACAAACCAGTTGGAAGCCCACAATCTTCAAGTTACACCATGGTTGAGAAACATCGATTTAATGCAAACTCACTGTCTCCCTCTCCCTCTCCCCAACTCTCTCTCATCAGGTCTTCGATCCTCCTCCTCTTTTAACGATGGGTGGAGTACGGGCAACTTAATGACTGGCCCGATGCCCTTCCTGTCACCAATGAGGAGTTTTGTCCAGCAGAGGATACATTCTCACGGTGCTCGGAGAGAGAAATATTTGCTTCTATCTAGGATTGAACCCACAGCCTGCGGATTGTGAGGCGAGAGCGCCACCTCTAGGCCGCCGCGCCACTCTGTTCTAATCAATGAGTAAATGGGGGCCCATATCTCTACCTTTCCAAATATCAGTCTTGTTCATTTTGGGGGGGGGGGGGGAATTGATGCCTCCTTGTCTTTCTTTCGAGAGGGGGCAAAAAAAAACACAAAATTTTTTTAAGGAAGCCCACCTGGAGGGCTGCTGCTGGCCTCCACTGTCGGCGGGGTGCAGGTTGAGGCGAGAGAGGCGGCCGGCCCGTCTCCCGGGCCCGCCACCTCGTTGGCCATTTCGTCCTCCTTCTGTTGGGTCTCCAGAGGTTCCCCTTCTTCCTCCTCCTCCTCTTCCTCCTCCGGCTCCGAGTTCTCTTCCTGCGAGTTCTCCTCCTCCGAATCTCCTTCCTGGCTCAGCCGCCTCTCGGAGGCCAACCAGGTCAGCTTTTCCATGGTTTCCTGAAGACCCCCCCAAGAGCGCAGCCAAATCGTTGCGGGGTCGGGGGACGATCCAAGACACACACACCCCGCCCCACTTTGCCCTGCACCCCCCCCTTACTCGTCCCTCCAAAGGAAAACAATTACAAGTGAAACTCGGCCTTTTCCCTTGCGATGAAATCTACGAAGAGGCTTCTTAAAGGAGGAGGGCCGTGTTCGAGGATCTGACCAATGGAAAGCTTGGTGCCAGATCAATCGATCGGAACACAGCTGGAAGGGAGCTGGGAGGTCTTCTAGTCCAGCCCCTGGCTTGAGCAGGAGACCCTATCCCATTCCAGACAAGGGGCTGTCCAGTCTCTTTTTAAAATCCTCCAGTGATGGAGAAGGAAAGGAAAGGAAAGGAAAGGAAAGGAAAGGAAAGGAAAGAAGAAAGGAAAGGAAAGGAAAGGAAAGGAAAGGAAAGGAAAAGGAAAGGAAAGGAAAGAGGAAAGGAAAGGAAAGGAAAGGAAAGAGGAAAGGAAAGGAAAGGAAAAGGAAAAGGAAAGGAAAGGAAAGGAAAGGAAAGGAAAGGAAAGGAAAGGAAAAGAAAGGAAAAGAAAGAAGGAAAGGAAAGGAAAGGAAAAGAAAGGAAAGAGGAAAGGAAAGGAAACGAAAAAGGAAAGGAAAGGGGAAAGGAAAGAGGAAAGGAAAGGAAACGAAAAAGGAAAGGAAAGAGGAAAGGAAAGGAAAGCAAAAGA